GGAGGGGACATAGAAGAGGGTATCTCGGGTGGTGTGGTCGGTCTTGGTTCGGATGTGGATGGGGAAACCTGAGTATTTGGCTGTGTGCGAGAGTGGAGGAAGCGGTAGGATATAGCATTAGGAGCATCATCAATAATGTGATCAAGGAACTTGTAGGAAGGAGGCTGGTCCGGAGTCATGGAACCAAATGGGAAAGATGTCTCATCAAAGGTTACATGACGAGAGATGATGATTTTGTTGGTGGCGAGGTTTAAGCATCGGTACCCATGGTGTTGTGCCGGGTATCCCAAAAAGACACATGGTGTGGTGCGAGGGGATAGTTTATGAGGAGTAACTATATGGGGGAAATAGAGGCATCCAAAAACTCGTAAATGATCATACTTGGGTGTTTGGTTAAATAGTTTCTGAAATGGGGAAATGTTGTGAAGAGTGGTGGAGGGTAGAATATTTATAATGTGAATGCCATGTGTAATGCTTCAACCCAGTATTTTGGTGGAACATGAGCATGAAAGAGAAGGGTGCGTATGACATTATTGATGGTGCGTAGCATGCGTTTTGATTTGCCATTCTGTTGGGATGTATGAGGACATGAAAAACGAAGCTGAATACCGTGAGAATCGCAAATGGTGTGAAAATTAGTGTTATTGTATTCACCGCCATTATCGGTTTGAAAAGCTTGGATTTTAACACGGAACTGGGTTAAAACATATTGATAAAAGTGTTGAAATTTTCCATTCACATCAGACTTTTTACGCAAAGGATACACCCACAAAAAATGAGAGAAGCTATCTAAGAAAATAACATAATATTTGATTCCACTCAAACTAGTAATCGGGGATGTCCAAACATCGGAATGAATAATTTGGAAAGGAAATTTAGCAACAAATTGAGACATTTGAAATGGTAATCTAACATGTTTTCCTAACTGACACGACTCACGTAAACTATTTTTGGTTTTGTTGATACAGGGAATTAAAGAACGAGAAACTAAATGTTGAAACACATGATGACCAGGATGATCGAGTCTGTGATGCCAAAGCTGCGGTCCAAAAGAGAGGAGAGCTTGAGCAGAAGGCTTCGTGACCAGATAGAGATCGCCGGTACTATCACATCGTAGGAGGGTGCGTTTGGTCTGAAAATCATGAACAGAAAAACCAAACTCATCAAATTCAATAGAACATTTTTTGTCACGGGCAAGACGACGAACAGACACAAGATTTTTAATGATATCGGGAGTTATTAACACACTATTTAAACGTAAAGGACGGAAAGAGTATGACATAGGAAGAAAAGAGTCACCCGTGGCTTTTACCGGGATGCGGGACCCATTACCAACATAGATAGAGGAAGTAGGCAAATTATTTTTAACAGAACTTAGGATACCTTGGTTCGTGTGTAGATGAGCGGTGGCGCCGGTGTCCATATACCAATCGGCGTGGGTGGGGTCATTCAAAGTCATAGTGTTAAAGCTTTGAGGAAGAGTCGTGGCCTGATCCGAAGGGGCTTGTTGTGCTGAGTGGAAGGCTTGGTGAGCAGGTGGAGTGGGCCACAATGGCTGTTGGCGATTTGGACCAGGAGAAAAAGAGGAGCGTTGGTGGGCTTGAGCACCTTGCGGTGTGGGCAGCAACCCATTTGAGCCATACGGTGGTCCGTTAACCACAAATTGGTGAGATGAGATATTATTTGGACCAAGAGAGCATGGGATTGGACCACAGGGGGTATGTATAATTAATTGTTGACCATTTAAATGTTGACCAAAACCACTTGAAAAACCTTGTTTATGTCTGGTACGTCCACCCCCACGTTGAAACCTACTTCCTCTATTAAATCTTCCACCGGTCCTACCACCACCACGTGATTGATTAGAAAAATTATTTCTATAATTTTGAGATTGATTAACATTCCCAGTGGCTTGAACCGAAAGAGCAGTTGGAGAAGAGGGATGATCGGTATGTGTAACAGAAACGGGCTTGGATGCATTGACCTTCATGAGTTTTTCTTCAATGGTAAGGGTGGAACGGGACCTCCGCAAAAGTTGGAAACGGCTTGCTGTTGCGGATTAGAAGGGAGAGATTGTCATATTTAGTAGGTAAACCATTGAGTGTGTGTATGATCAGATTTCGATCAGTAAGTTTGGCTCCTAGATTCTCAAGCATATCCGCCAGTTTAGACACACGGTTGAGATACTCAAGCATGGAGGAGTCCCCCATTGATAATTTCCTGATTTCAGTGTCCAACTCCATGAGTCGGTGGTCTTTGTTATCGTAAAAAAGATTTTCAAGAATGATCCATACATCATATGTTGTGGTATTTTTCTTTATAATGGAATTGAGTAAGGGTTGTGCAAGAGTACCGTAAATCCAAGCTTTCACAATAGCATCAATTTCCTCCCAATCGGCTGGTGGATCTATGGCAGCAGCTTTGTCTTTAGGTTGGTCGGTTGGGGTGGATGTCGATTCAGTGGTGGGTTTGGGAAGTAGATGATGGTAAACACCAAATCCCTTGCAATGATTCTGGAAGAGTTCATGCCATGAGTCATAGTTCTGATGTTCTTGATCAAGGATAAGTGGAACATGGGTCTTGATGTTTGTGATGCCATATGGTTTCTCAGACTTAGAAGAAGACATGATAGAGCAGCGATCGATAAAAGAGTATCAGGTAAGATTAAATAGGAGAACGAGCTGGAAGAAAATAGTGGCGGCAAAGAGAAAGGTGTTGCACAAGAGAGATAGGATCGGAATTAGGGTTGTACACGATGGTCTCTGATACCATGTAATTGTGTATATTTTCCCATTCCTCGGCTCATTCTCATTAATCAATATATATACAAGATAAATACATTATGGGCTATAATACTAATATTTTGGGCCTAAATACAAACAATAATAATATAGCTAACACGGACCCTTTTAGCAGTGATGGTCAACAGAAATTGGATTATCAATCAACTTGACGTAAACAATGCCTTCTTACACGGAGATCTACACGAAGAGGTCTATATGAAAATCCCACAAGATTTCGAGAAAGGAAAGGAAAACAAAGTATGTCGTCTCAGAAAATCCCTTTACGGCCTCAAGCAAGCTTCAAGGAACTGGTATAAAAAATTTACTTCATAGTTACATATGATTGGTTTCAGACAGTCTCAAGCGGACCACTCATTATTCATCGTTAAAACAGAAAACTCATTCGTGACAGCACTCATATATGTAGACGATGTCATAATTGTGTGAAACGATGTGAAAAATATCAAAGAAAAAAAAACATTCTTGAATGAGAAGTTTAGCATTAAGGATTTAGGCCCCTTAAAATACTCCTTAGGTATCGAATTGACTCGTACTCGAGACTGAATAGTGCTCAATCAAAGGAAGTATATTCATGATATCCTGGAGGATAGCGGAATGATGTGGTGTCGGCCTAGCACTTTTCCCATGGATCAAAATGCTAAACTCTGGAAGAATGATGAAGATAAACGAGAGGATGCAAATAAATATAGAAGACTATTAGGAAGATTGCTATACTTACAAGCAACCAGACCCGGCATTACCTACTCGGTTAACGTTTTAAGCCGGTTTGTTACAGATCCTTGCGAAAGTAACATGAATGCTGCTATGAGACTGTTGAGATACTTGAAAGCTACACCGGCATAGGGGATACTCCTTCTAAAGGAGGGTGAAGCAAATTTAATTGCCTACACCGATTCAGATTAGCCTGGGTGTCCAGATACGAGAAGATCGAGGACCGGTTACTTATTACTTCTGGGGGTGCCCCAATATCATGGAAATCGAAAAGGCAGTTTGTTGTGTCTCGCTCTTCCGCAGAAGCTGAATATCGAGCAATGACAACTACAGTTAGTGAAGCCATTTGGCTTCGATGGCTTCTAAAAGATTTAGGTCTAGAACAAAGTGATCCTACTCAACTATTATGTGACAACATGGTTGTGAAACACATTGCAAACAACCCGGTATTTCACGAGCGCACCAAGCACGTTGAAATGGATTGCTATTTTTTCCGTGAACGCGTCGAGTCAAAAGAAATGAAACCTTTACACGTCGACACTAAGTCTCAAGTTGTGGAGTTGTTTACCAAAGCTTTGGGAGCTAAAAAACTCGAATCTCTACTTGACAAGTTGGGCATTTATAACATTCATGCTCCAACTTGAGGGGGAGTTTTGGATTGTTCTAATTATTGATCATTTCCTTATCTTATTCATGTAATTTTAGTCCTTTTATTGTGTTTCCTTTTCTAAGCCTTAAAGATAGGATCTCTAGTTTCCTTCCTCTGTATATATTTTTTTCCTGTATTCCCTTGTTATGAATGAATACACAATATACTTGACTTAAAAATTTATATTAAATGCATTATTAGTAGTTCATTCAGTTTAGACTCAGTGAACTTGGATCATTTGAATAAACTCATTATCACAAGATTCGCTTGTTTGAAGGAACGTAAGGAAGTTGGTGGCGCAATATAAAGAATCATAGCCCACCTAAAGCAATCTCATTCCCAATCTTTTTACCCTCGGAATATATGTATAAATTGATTGAAGGAAGGAATCTGTTTGAAACAACATTGACCAGCCCTTTTCAACTTTTTTGTGTACTGCTCAGTACTCACGCCCGTAGAATGTGGAGGACTGTAATCCATGGTCTTGAGGTTGCCCACGTCCAACGAACATGTTAATGGCCACTTAATCATGATTTGAAACAATTAATCAATGCACCATACGGTTATAATTTGTTTGCAAGAAAGAATATATGTGTTCAAGTTGTTCCACCGTTTTATGCACAAAAAGAGTATACATCTTTCAAAGATACCCTTAGTAGTTTTGAAGCATCTAAGTAAAGCACCCCATCATTCTCTTGTTTGGAGAGAAGGAGCTTAGTTTCTTATAAATAGAAGTGGCACGAAAACCTCAAACTTCAGGCAAACTCCATCTTCCTCGTCCACAATTAGAAACTTGCAACCAATCACAATTTAAATTGGATTTTGATCCAAGTAAGATGGAGAAGATAAAATCATTGGTATCTGAGAATGGAGTTGTGATTTTCACCAAGAGCACCTGTTGCTTGTGCTATGCTGTAACAATTCTGTTCCAAGAACTTGGGGTGAGCCCTTTAGTTCATGAAATAGACCACGACCCTCAAGCAAGGGACATGGAGAAGGCTCTCCTGAAACAAGGGTGTAACTCACCTCCTGTGCCAGCTGTATACATATGTGGCAAGCTCGTGGGGTCCACCAATGAGGTCATGTCCCTCCACCTAAGCGGCTCCCTCATTCCACTGCTCAAACCTTATCAATCCCTGTCTTAAGCAAACAAACTCCAATCTGAAGAAATAAGGTTGGCTCAAGACTATGAGCAATAGTAATATATTTGACTAGACTATATATGTTCTGTATTATTAGTACTTTTGTAGCTTTTCATTAGATTAAGGATAAGGAATATTTGCTTTTAGGCAATTATTAAGATTATCATTAGTTTTTAGATTATGAAGGTAGCTTATTTAATCTGTTCACGTACATGTGTTTGATGGAAACACATGGATGTCGTTTGGGTGAATGTAATTATAAAATATTACTATTATCAAGTGCTACTGGCCTCTTATCAAGAACTCACACGTAAATCTATATTTTTTGAATCTTCGAAATTGAAAAGATGGTTTAAATCAGCAAACTTTAAAAAGGTTATTTGATCCTTCCAGGATCATTTTATGTCTACAAAATGAGTATTGAATGCTATTGAAGAATGAGAGAGTTGCCTTAGCATCTCCATTTGATACAAATAAGAACCCAAAAATATAAGAAAGAAAAAGTGCAGGTGATATATTCAGCTTCTGACATTCCGCAACCTTCATTTTCAAAAAAGTTCAGAAGATATATATGCTCTACTTTTAAATAAAGAAAGGTATTGAATGCTCTAGTCTTTCATTTTCATTTGCTCTGATTAATATATTTGTTAGTTTCAATTCCTTTTCAGATTCCCTTTTCCATAAAGCTCACAGAAAAGATCAAGAACAAAGAAGTGCTGGTGTTTTAGCTTCTTCGTTAGACTTGCTTTTTATCTTTTGTGATCTGCATATTCCCGTTCTAAAGAAGTTGCATATCTGCTACATTCATATAATTCTAGATTACTGGAAGTCTTTTGTAATTGAAAAACAAAATTTCTAATAGTAGTGCATACCAAGGTTAGAGAGTTTGGGTGGGTGTTCCCTTTGGCAATAAACTTATAACTTTTGTACCATGTTATGTAAAACATTACATAAATTTGGGTAAAAATGTTAATGGTAGTTTGTTACAATAAATGGTTATAAGAAAAGTATGTTGCATTGATTGGAAATGATAAAAGCGTCCTGCACTTTTTGCAATTTACCCCTTGATGGTGGGCTTGAGGAATCCTGGAACAAGAACATCTTCAGAGATGCTAATGGCATAGATTCTTTTGCATCTTGATGCATGCTGTTACAACAGTTTCAACAGTAGGAAACCAAAAAGAGATCGATCGTTGTATTTATGTGATTGAGAAAGTTACTTACTTTCACATGCAAAGATCCACACCAAAAGGAATGATTCTTTAAGCTTGAGACCGGTTCTTCCAAGAACCGGTCTCAGTTGCCAAGAGTTAGGCCTGGTCCAGTTTTGCCGCTTAAAACCAGAACCGGTCCATTTATGCCTTGTCTCAACTCTAAAGCCAGGTTTCGTCCTTTTGAACACTTTGTGCATATTCACATATATGTTGGGATTTTAGTATTAAAAATAAAATTAAAACATATATCTTCTTTTATTCAAATCAATCTTCACTTGTAACAGAAAATTGCATATGAAATCTATAAAGGCATAATAAAATCATTTGAGAAAATATTCTCGACGTTTGGAAAAGATTGCATGATAGAAGAGTCTCTGCTACAATTCCTAAATGACAAAATATAGATATTCTTCTTGTCTTTCAAAGTATATTCTTCCTACTCGAAATATCATCATTGGTGCTTTTGCTTTTCTTGTAAGTATGTTTAAATAAAAAACAATTATAAGTAAATATAAACATAAAAAAGACACAAGTCCCATAGGAAAAGAGTAAGGAGACGTAAGATGTAGATAATTGTACCTCCATCCAAAAGTAGAGAGTGTCTCCTTAGATGACATCTGGTCTAGAGATTGACAAAAGAGATGAGAAGAGTTATTTGGAGAATAAAATGACTAAATGAGATGGTTTTGGAGATAGTGACATTACTTGTTTAGTTTTTGTCTTCAATATAGAATTGAGTGTCCCTGGTATATATAGTTTTATAAACGTACAACATTACAACAAAAACGTATTAGATTTGATGACACATTGTAGAAAGATGGAGAGCAAACCAAATCAACCAAGCGGGGTTCAACGAATGGTGCGATCCTTTCTATACCTTTTTCTCTTTAGTTTATTATTTTTTTTTCTTACGTGTGAATCCTATTAATGGATAACGTTTTAAACTAATCCCATTTTTTTAGAAAATAAAACTTAGTTATCATCGTATAACGAGTGAGATGTCAAACAGGTAACAAACCTTTTTTGTATAGTAAAATCGGTTCTTTTAAAAACTACATCTATAAATCTATGATCCATTGGTATATTTTGCATGTATAGCTTGGCCCATGGTCCATTGGTATTATTGTATTTATTCCTTTCTCAATACTAAGACCGGAGGGTATGAGTGGATAGTTTTCCTCACTTTTTGTTGGTCACACCGCTCTTTTCACCATTTTCTTTTTCCTCACCTAAAACCCAATGATGGGTGGGAAGCTTCCGTCACTATTTTTTTAATTTTTTTTAAATATATTTCCTATAAATAGTATATACACTTTGTAGGGAATTAAAAACCATGAGTTTTGATATGTATATTTTTTTAATTTTTAATAGGTATATAATTTAATAAATATTAAAAAAAAATTAGTTAATAGGAATAGGTGTGATAGTGAGGGAATGCGCTCCCTCACCTTTTTCCCTCAGTCAAGGGATGGTGTCCAACTGAGGGTCACACATACCGTCCGGCCTAATACCATTGAGTTTTAGGAAATGTATCCAATTGCATAGTGCTAGGCGCCTTTTGGTACGTAATAATCATAGATGTAATGGAATGGAGCATTTAAGCGGAATGAAAAAAGAATCTTGATTCGTTACAATAAGCAATGAAATACAACATTTCTCATGGGCTTGTTTTTATTCCATGGGGAGGTGTTTTTTTTTTCTTAGAATGCAATGCTATACATTTAAAATTTAAAATTATTTATATTTGTATAGTATTCATGAGAATAATCATTTTAGTATATTTCAAAATTTTAATTAAATATCTGAGTAAATTATGTGAATGGTCCCTCTAGTTTGAGGTAATTTGTTTGCTTAGTCTTTAACTTTATTTTTTAACTTGAACCATCCCTAAAGTTTTTTTTATTGTTTCGTGTTTGATCCCTAATCAATGTGAAAAGACAAATATACCCTTATAAATTTGTTTTTATTTGTTGTATCCGTTATTTTATTTTAAAAAGGTTAATTAAATATGGCCCATTTATTATCCTTCCTTTATCGCCTAATGCTTTATACCTAACTAGTTGTGAAACGCATGTATTATATGGATTAATTAAAAAAAAGTTAAATATAAAGATTAAAATATTTGAAAACTTTAAATTTATAAAATAATAATAATAATAATAAATTATTATAACTGAAATACTTTTTATCGTTAAAATTTAAACAAATAAGAAAAAAAAAACTAATGAGCCTTAATTAAAAGTTTTGAAATTAAAAGGTAAGTTTATTAATGAAATTGATATCAATTTATTACTACATTTATTACAATTATTATATTAAAATGTTATGCGAAATTTAATAAAATAGATTAACTCATAAAATGATATGTGGAAAAAAAATTAATTCAAAATAACCACAAAATAATATTTGCCAAATTGAATGAGAGTTTAACATGTGGCAAAAAAAATTCATTTATTAGAGTAGATGACCAGAAAAAATCTAATTGGTTCCTCTTTGTCTCGTCTTCTCGCCGGAAGAAGCTTTAACGCCACTTCTCTCTCGATGGTCATCATTAGTCGCCGCAATCCATTAAAGTACCACACGAGATAAAAGCACAACCTTCTCTTTCTTACCCGCACTGTTGATTCCTCTTTTGTCTCGTTTCCTCGCCAAAAGTAGTCATAGCGTCGTTACTTTATCGTTGATCGTGATCGGGCATCCACAATCCATCAAAACACCATCGAGTTCCCCAACTTCAACCCTTGACTGTCAAAAGTTATTCGTGTCATTAGATCCACCCTTCACCTAGTCATCTTGTTCTATCTCCTATAAAATTTGATGGAAAGAAACAAATATATGTATTTCTCTATGAACCAGATCTGATGATGGTCAGTGTAACGCTCGCAGATCCGGGCTAGTTAATTTAGAGATAATGAGCGTCAAAAGTGAGTTTTTAATGAAAGATTATTTAGAAGGATTAATCTTAACCAAGTTGTAGTATATGTTACAAGGGTTCCGTACATATAAAGAACGCTGAAATCCGAGTTATAACGAAGAAGTTATGGCCCGTCGAAGTTTTACGGCAAAACCGACACGGCACTAGAAGACGTAAATAGTGAATTTAGGATAGATGACTTTTTAGTCTTAGTGATCTAAGCAAAAGTTGTAGTATACGTTAAACCAAGAGCATAAAAAAAAACGCTCAAATTTGACTTCCTGTGAGGAAGTTATGAATTTTTTAA